GGTACCCCTGGTTCGTGCAGCACGAGCCACACATTGCCTGGTCCTCTGGGACTATTCTGGAGTGGAGCGCCTCCTGTCACGCCCAGTGACAGAGAGGATGAACCAGTGTGTGGAGACGGCACTCCGCTGTGTGGCTGCCAGGAACCCGTCCTCCTGGAGTCGGTTCCTCCCATGGGTTGAGTACTCGATTAACTCCCTTGTCAGCTCTGCCACAGGTCTCTCCCCTTTCGAGGTGTCGCTGGGGTACCAGCCACCGCTGTTTTCGGCACAACAACCTGAGGTGGCAGTTCCGTCGGTACAGACTCATCTGGACAGATGTCGTCGCATCTGGGGAGTCGCCAGAGCCGCTCTACTCCAAGCGGCTGAACGTAGTAGCCGGGGGGCCAACCGTCGCCGGAACCCAGCGCCAACATACCACCCCGGGCAGAGAGTTTGGCTGGGCACCCTCAGTGGAGGGTTCGCCGACTGTTGGACGTTCGGCGTCGGGGGCGAGGGTACCAGTTCCTGGTGGACTGGAAGGGCTATGGCCCGGAGGACCGTAGCTGGGTATCTCGCCGGCTCATCATGGACCCGGGGCTTCTGACCGCCTTTTATCGAGCCCATCCCGAGAAGCCTGGCAAGTCGCCGGGTGGCTCCCTTGGAGGGGGGGGTAGTGTTAGGGCTCGACCAGCCAGAGAGTCGCACACCTGACGCCGCTCTGCTCATCGCCACAGCTGCAGCTCGTCAGCTCATCCCACAGGGAGGTTAAGAAGCAGATCTGCCAGTGGCTCGCTGTGAGTTCGTGCTCTGTGTTTCCCCAGAGAGGGTTGATTGTTCTTCCCCTGTGCTCCTCTTGGAAACCCTTCCGGAATTCCCTACGCAGAGTTTTTGTTTTCCCTGTGAGTATCGTGTGAGTTTTCATTTTTTGATTGGACTAAGAGCGCCCACGGACTAGAGAAGTTTTTGGAGTTGCCTTTTTGTTTGTTTCTCGTATTTGGTTATTTTGAGAAATAAACTACGCCGTTTTCCGGCTAAACCTAAGCTGTGTCTGGTGTCGTGCACTTGGGGTCAGAGACAATCCATAACAAAAAGTGTAATATTAGGTCGCAATTCTAAACAAATCCGATTCCCAATACCTTATTTGTACTCTCGTAATTGGTTGGTCTTCTGTCAAAACAATAAGTTGAATCAGTTTATTTTCATACAAAATGAAATTCAGAATTGGGACCACGCACATGATGGAAGACATGGCATCCATAAATGTTTTTTTTATATACTATTACCAAAATCATGTGTAGAATGCCAATTAAAAAAAGACGTCCCCATATATTAAGTTCCCTCACCTGCCGATCATCATCTTTCTTTTTTTACAGGTGAACTGAATGACATCACTTTTACTGTGAAGGAGGAGGGTCAAACTGTGGTTGCGTCCTACTCCGTTCCAAACCCGTGTCCAACTTCACCACCTGTCTTCACCTGGAGTCTCCCCGGAAAACAACATTTCCAACCACGGCAGCTGGACGATGGCCAGTGGACAGCGACATCTACTCTGCATTTCAACACTACCAGAGCTGATCACAACATGCTCTTAAGATGCAACGTGACATACAAGGGAGGGCAGATCTACAAAGCAGAAAGATTCCTCAGATTAAAACGTAATTTTTTCACTTTTTTCACCTTTTTTTTTTTTACAATGCTTCGGTTGATGACCACAAACTGGACCAATGGCATTGTTTTGTGCTAATAATCAAATGTTATCATGCAAAACTAAAGATGTTAAAACCGGTATACCTGCTAAACATCAACATGTTACTACATCATGGTCCATTGTATATTTCCATGCAGATGCCCCAGTGAATGTGAACGTTGAACACAAGTCAGATGTAACGGAGGGAGAAGCGGTGCCACTGAGCTGCTCTTGTGATGCTCACCCTCCTGCCAGCTATCAGTGGCACGATGAAACTGGTGCTAAACTGCATGACGGAAATGTCTACAAGCTGCCAAATGTCTCCAGACACACAGGAGCCCTGTTCTGTACTGCCATCAATGACATAGGACAAAGAAAATCAAACCCCGTGCTGCTCAATGTGTTGTGTGAGTAAACAATCAAAAGAATACAATGATAAAGGAGTTTTCTTTAATATATATGTATGTATATTAATACCTCATAAAATGATATTGTTGTTCTTACAGATATGCCTGAGATCAAGACTGTCTCCTCCTGCTCTTCCGAGGCACATATGGTGAAGTGCGTGTGCATTGCAGAGTCCCAGCCCGTCAGTATGATCCATTTTGTGCTTCCTGACAGAGTCCTGCCAAGAGTGAAGGTAGAACAACATGGCACCGTCACCATCGGAACTCTGCATGCAGAGTTTGGATCTTCTCGTGTTGTTCTCTGTGTGGCCAACAACACGCTTGGCAATGCAAACATAACACTCTCTTTACCTGTTAACAGTAAGGAAGATTTGTATGTATTTTTAGAAGTGCGTCACACAAACCTCAATTTCCTATTGATGAAGAGAAACATGTCTCCACTGTTTCTGTTTGGACAGGTACGATGCAGAATCTCTATATTGTCATTGCTTCTGGAGCAGCCGGGATTTTGGTGACGGTTTTATTAGCTGTTAGCGTTTTTAAAAAATGGTAAGTGTAAATAAAACTAAGTAGAAAAATGATTTTGCTACTCTTTTCTGTCTCTTTTCCCCCTCTAGTATATTTTATGAACATATAATTAAAATTTGAAAAGCAAATGTGTCTCATCATAGTAGAAGCTCGTCCTTTTGACCATGTGGGTCCCGAAAGTCAGCTTCCAAATTCTTACACGTGTTGGATTTTGCAGTTCGCATGGTTTGGTTTCAGTTGTTATGAAATGTTTTATCTGTTTTATTTTACTGTTCCCAAAATAAAAACCCTTATTCTCCCAGCAAGGGGAAATCTGCTAATGCACAAACACGTCACATCGTCCCTGAGAAGACGGACAAAGACGTGGCGCTCCCTCACTGCTCTGCTACTAAAAGGTTTCTGTCATTCACTTTAGTTTGAACAAGACAATGCTAATGATGTAAAATGACACAACAAAGATAACCTAGAATAATCCTTAATGTTCATGAAACACTTGTTTGTTTCCTTTATCCTCAGAAAAGAGAAGCGTTATGAAGATGTACATTCTGCTGACATCTTTGACAACGATCATGTCTATGGCAACATGGAGGTATGTTCATTTTTTTTTTTTATTCATTCGTTAATTGTTTCCTTGAGTGAGTGAGCGTTAACTTTATTTCCTACAGACTGACTGCGGTGACGCAATCTACGCAAATATGTGACTTTGTTGAATTCATTGGAGGTGCAGTTGCAGTCCCTCTGTTGCCAACTGATGCGTCGGGAAGCTGTCAACATATTATAACCCTGGCGAAGCTTGAGTGAGCGACAACATAACATGGGCATAAACTAACACACTGGCACAGGACAAAGGGAGACGCAGACAATTAGTACACATGGAGGGCCATGGGGAAGAGGTGGACACAATTGAGAATCAGGGAAGACAATCAGACTGGTGACACATGAGGAGCAGTAAGTGACCTGAAACGAGAGGAGAGTTACTATTTCAAAATAAAACAGGAAAGGACAAGACAAAAAGACCAGACAAAATAAAACAAACCCAACAACTTCACCGCAGTGTGATACTTATTAACAGTATTTTGGCCTTTTCCATTAAAGTAAAATATTTTTCTTATTCAGTTTGGTTATTATATGAGATATCAATACACAACGCCTCTATGATTGTACGCGCTGTAGGGAATTTAAATATTTTGCTGAATTGTTTGAACGAATAATATGGAACCAGACAGCTGATGGTTTCTTAAATTAGCATCACTCGAAATATTATTGGAAAACATCAACAACAACGGGGACACCTGGGAAATAACAGTTTTTGCCCCTTCCATCTGGCAGGAGGCTGAGGTCCATCAGGACCAAGACCTCCCGCCACATAAATGGTACTTCCCATTGGCAGTCGGGCTCATCAACAGAGCCCGGGCCCCACACTGACATCCCACCGGACACTCCCTTCACACACAAACCTGCACCTGTCAGTTTCTGTTCGCTGGTGCACTTTACTTTTTTTTATTTTTAAAAAGCTTTTCATTTATTTTTAAACTAACACTTAGCCTTATATACTAACCCATAGCATATTTTATTCCTCTTGCACTATGTCGTCTTATGTGTCTTGTTGTCCATTGTCTAACTGTCTGCTGCTATGCACCAATCTCCAAGTCAAATTCCTTGTATGTCTGACATATTTTGGTAATAAATGTTTCCTGATTCCTAACAAGCAAAAAATTACACTGACTGAATGAAGTTGCACTTACTGATGAATTTGATATTCCCTAAATAATTGATGAAATCATCAAAGACGAAATCTAATATAGTTTGTTCGATTACAGAGATTAGCAAAACCGTCTTATTATTATTATTAATTGCAGGCATCAGATGCTTGTAATTCCAATTATAATTTTAAGCACATTTCATTTGTTTTTTCACATGTTTCCATAGACGTTGTTGTCCACAGCGTTCACGTAATCATCCCCGTCATCAGGTTTCTGTGAAAGATTATTGTCATTATAGTCACAGATGCTGATAGTGCCACAGTTCTGTTTGTAATCATTTCGAATAAATCAATGGCAATTAACAAGTACCTGTCGGTAATTGCAGGATTTGGGCTGGCCGAGGTCCATTTAATACAGCAATGAAAAGTAGAGAGAAAAAAAGTAATGACTTGGCTGTACTACAATATATGATATCTTTATTTAGAAAAATACTCTGGACAGTCACGTCACGCATGCACCGTGTACCGCTGGAGATGACCAAAACTATAGCAATCCTCGCTTACTAACGGACGCATCCTCCTCTCAAGTCCAGGGCTCTCAAGTGTTCCTTTTCAACCTCCCCGTCGGCCGTAGTGTAGCGTCCACAACCCCCCCCGGTCAGCTGGCACAGTATACTCACTACAAACATATACTAGACTACACCACTGTGGGCAACCAATCTGGCTGTCGGAGAAGGAAACTGAGCGGCTGCACAGAAGCTCACCATTGATGAATCCAATGAAACCATTGAATGAATGGTGAGACGTTGGAGACGACAATGTGAAGAACTCGTTTTTCTGCCGCGTGGACGCCTGTGGCTTATAGACCGGTTCTACATTTAGGTGGTGCGGCTTATATTATATTATACTTATTTACTTATATTATACTTATTTTTATATTAAAATAATAAATACTGTGGCAAGCCCATGGCTGTGGATTTCCATGTCACTGTTCAAGAAGACAAGCCGGCCACGGGGTACAGTTAGCGCAGTTTATTTTGATCAAATCGATTGTGTAGGAGGATAAGCTCAATGCCACGTGACACTTCCAAAGCTGTTCCCGTTGTCTTCTTGTCCCAGGTCATACATTGGTGGGTCCTCTTCCAGAACAGTTCGATGCACAGTGTTAGTCAGCCAGTCCAGGTCAATCCAGTTAATCTTACACTTTGTTAACTCTCCTTTTGTCTCCTGTCCACAACTATGTTTCACTTCGTCTGGTCTATTCTCTCTCTCTCTCGTTCTTCCTTCCTGTTGGGTTGTTTGTCCCCCTTCTTATGCTCCCCTTAATTACTCAACTGCTTCAACCCTCTCCCTGGGCATAAAGCCTGTGCCATCTTGGCATTAGGATGATGTTAAGTTTAATAAAACACAACAAATAGAACATGCGTTTCCCTGATTTCTTAGAGTGTATTATGCTCCTGCTGAAACTATGTTTGGGATTGATTTTCATATCATTTCCGGTTGTTGGTGTGCCGTGAGATTTTTTCTGTGTCTTAAGTGTGCCTTGACGCAAAAAAAGGTTGAAAAACACTGTGTTAGAGGATCTAAATCAACAGTGTGAAAAACTCTCACATAGAGATTCAACACGGTTTTGGATGTTCGCTCTCCATTAAATTGCACCGTGCAGATTATCTCCCTGTGGTCGTCCTTCTCCTCAGGAGTAAACGTCAGGATGGACTGCGTCTCCCAGTAGCCAAAACGATTGTTTTTGTGGACTTCAGTGACCACATCATCTGTAGTGGCCCTATTCCATGTGAGTTTAGGCACATGGGAAGGGCAAGTGTGGGTGATTGAGCAGGTGACTGTGTAGGGACGTCCTTGAATGGCTGTTGAGTGAGTCAGAATAGGATCTGGAGGATTAGCTACAAATGAAAAAGAGGAAAACCATGTTGATACATAGAAAAGGTGTAGGTGATCTGTCATTTTCAAAGCATATATTTGGGAAAGTTGTTTACATACCGAGCATCTTGAACGTGACGCAATTATCCACCAAAGTGAAATTGTCGATGGAACCGGTCGGAAGTTCAATCCGGAAACAGAAAGGGCCGTTGTCATGATCTTTGATGTCAATCATTTCTAAGGTGCAGTTGCCATCACCCAGATGTCCCAACAGCTTTGTGCGGCCCTTAAAGTTTTCCAAGATCTGCGTTGTAGCCTCGCTATAGATGCGGTCGTCCATACCAGATTTGAGATGCCAGATCGCATTGATTTTAGAGTTTGTCAGGCGTTCGTTAGGATGGGTGTATGTACAGGGTACAACAGCACAGGACTGGACCAGGACCTCAAGATTTGGTGCAACATTTGCCGTCCACTCTCCAGCAAACACAGGGCTGCTAAAAGCTGTCAGAGAAATATAAATTGATATTTCTCATTTGGCCATTTTCTGTTTTTATTAATCAATGGGGCATTTGATATCAAATTGGAAACAAAGATTGGACTTCAATGTGTTAGCTGCCAAAAGCAGACAGAATTTCTTCTTAGGTTTTGGTGGTGTAATAAAATTCATGTTAAAAAGAAACACAAAACAGAAAAACATAAAGTTTACCTTCTACTCCTATCTGCAAATCATACCACACTTGTGTAGAACTTATTCAAACAGTAAACATCTTCACATGCAAGAGGCATATATTTAAACAGGAAGCACTGGAATGGATTATATCCTCCTAATATGTTATGTGTTTCCTTTCCTTCCTTCCTTTCATAAGTATATATGATAAAGACAAAGATAAAATCCGTTGAAAAAAAATCCAGTGGTCAAGTTCATATCAAAACACCTCAAATTGCTCTGCTGCATTATCCTTTAGTGTATTAGATTCACAAAAATTATATTTGACCAAAAAGTGTAGTCAGCAAACATTAATTGGATGTGCTATTTTAACATGGTAAGTTATATATATAATGTTCTAACCTGATAAAGCTTCTTTCTGGCTCCTTTCCGTCTCTACTAAAAACACCTTGAGAATGTCTAATCAGAAAGTTAAGTTGATCAAATATAGACCCTAAAAGGAACAGAACACAGCAGCTGTATGTGGAAGGTTGTGCAAATATAGTGGAGGCAGACTGATATCAGTGGAGTTAATGATGTAGAAAGTAGGGAGTGGTCTCTCGAAGCAAGGGAGTTACCCATAATGATGCTTTCTTTTCAGAAAACTGATCCAGATGGGATCTGCAACATTATGTTGTGAGTTGAACCACAATTAACTGAATCTTTTAGAAATATAAATGTCAAATTAAATCTGCATTCATGAATAAGATAAGTGTGGAGAAGAAATTTCGAAACAATTTTAGTGAGAAACCTTCTTTTTAACCCTTACTCAAAAGGGATTAATATGTTAGATTTAAGTCTGGCGTTAAAGTCTTGCTGTCATCTGTAGCTCTTGGTTTGCTTTCTTTGATTTAACAACTCACGCAGCACATTTTCATGAATCTGTCAGGGGCCCCTGACAGGGGGTGCGTGGGAAGGCAGGACTCAAACGCAGACGTCAAAAGCAAAAAGCAAAACGGCCTTTAAAGGCAAGAAGCAAAAGGCCAACGGGCAAAA